GTAACAGTCTGTGTGGTGTGAGAGTCAATATAATGGGAGGGCGACCTCTGGTGGCAAGCGGACGGAAGTTCATGGACAGGATTCGTGACACTTAGAGTAAAGGAATTGTGGTTTTTGATGTCACTTTGACTTATAGAAGTATATTTTGGTCTTGCCCCCTCCTGAAGCCAATGATTCTTGTTTTCATTTCAATATCTTATGTTATGAGTTACAGATAAATCTATTGACAGTGATCTTGTTGTTTGTGGTGCTGTGGCAGGACAGACTAGTGCTCTTTAAATCCTTAATATTGTTATGTCCCTTGAAACTCCAGGATCTGTATCGGATGTAAGGCCACGATCAGACAGAACATGTTTTTTAGGTTTGAAAATGAGCAAGGCTCATCAAAGTACTACCCCTTTTTTTTTTTTGGTTGACTTTTTTAATTTAGAAAAGAGCAGTGCACTGTTTTCAAAAAAAAATTTTTTTTATGTTGTTCACCGAATCAGCTGTCCAGTTACATTTATACTTGTCTCTTCTCTTTTTGCGGTTCTTCTTGTTCCTAGTTCCTTCAGTGGTTCTGCTTGTTACCAGCAGGTGTTCATTACTAATGCTTAATTATCACTTAATCACACAGTAACAGGATACAGATCAAGAAATATCACATTCACAACTCTGCTTAACATGTAATAACATTCACACACTGTGAAGAAACCTTAGATTAAATATTACCATTAATAGACAAATATCTATAGGTCACTATAACAAAGCACACAACCAGCCCAGCTTGCAAATAAATAATTATATAATTTGAACATTGTTGGTTCAGCCTCATAAAAATGCTGCCTGTTTAGACTTCTTTTAGAAATCTTTTTGACCTTTTCACTGAAACCTGCTTGAATAAAATAAATGAACATGTTGAAACATTAAGTATTTAGACTTTTGTTTCTATGTAGACACATTATAAATATTTGAGTTGGGATCAGTCCTAGAGCTCTTATGGACTGTGCTGTTCAGCTATACGGAGTCATTGAGCTTATTTTTAACATTAATCTGTGTTTGGGAAGAGTACTGGTTCTGTAGAAAACATTTTGTGTGATGCCTGTACCAAGACTTCCACCCATAAACCACCTAATAACTATAAGCTGGTTGCTTATAATCACATCTGATGAAAAACACTGGGGAGACTGGTCATTGATCCATTACACTTTAAGTCAAGTCGCCTTTATTTCTATAACGCTTTATATAATACAGATTGTCAAAGCAGCTTTACAGTGTCAAACAGGACAGTAAAGTTTCAATTCGGTTGTAAAGCAGCTCTAGAAAAAGGATAAGAGGAAACAGTCAATTTTTCAGTTAATGTCAGTTCATTGTTGGTTCAGTTCAGTTTAATAATAACTGTGTAAAGGTAATCAATTATGGAATAAGTTTAATTCATCTATAAATAAGCCCTGGAGAAAACAGTAATGTCATCATCCAGCTCAGTTCAGTTTAAATAGTGTCTGTGCAATCAAGTTGACGATATCACTGGAAGTTAAGTGTCCCCAACTAAGCAAGCCAGAGGCGACAGCAGCACGGAACCAAAACTCCATCGGTGAGGGAATGGAGAAAAAACCTGGGGAGAAACCAGGCTCAGTCGGGGGTCAGTTCTCCTTTTGTCTATAAACCAGGTGTTGGAGTAGATGACACCGTCATATTTCTTCTGCAGCGATCTCTTTCCCATTTGGAGGTAGCTGGAAATATGTCTGAGTTATATGCTTTGATTCTTCTAGTGCATTTAATACCATTCAGCCCTCACTACTTAAATTTAAGATGGAGAGAGCAGGTGGGCATCCTAACCTGGTAATCTGGATAACTGACTACCTCACCTACAGACCCCAGTAGCTCCAGGACTGTGTCTGATGTTGTGAAGTGCAGTACAGGAGTCCCACAAGGAACCGTTCTAGCTCCCTTTCTATTTACTATTACGTTACGCAGAGTTATGGAGAGTTACGCAGAAGACGTAACTCAGGGAGAAGAATTGTTAAATAAATTGTTATTTTGTTTTCTTTGCGCTCGAAGTATTCTCGTAGCTTTGCAAAACTGAAGTTGAGCCACTGATGTCACATGGACTGTTTTACCGATGTCCTATACGTTTCTGGACTTGGGAACATTACAGTTGCGGTGCTGTATATGGAGGGTCAGAGAGCTCTCCGATTTAATCAAAAATATCTTAATTTGTGTTCCAAAGATGGACGAAAGTCTT